CAGTCACTGGCTGCCCCGTCGTCGCTGTCAGCATCGTCAACAGGATCGCTATTGTCATCATCGCATCTACCATTGTCGGCGTTGCCATGATACCGCGCCCACCCAAGCTGCCGACTCGTACTGACGTGCCCACTGGACTGTGCTGGGCGGTCAGCGCCACCGCGTTCGCGTCGGTCGCGCCAAACTAGCTGTCCGTTGCGCGCGCGAGCATGCGCGGGCTAGCGCGGCCGCAGAAATGCACCAGCCAACACCAAGCTCTCATCGCAATCGCTGCTGCATGGATTTTGCAAACTAAGTTGCAGGTGGGCGTGTGGGGTGATTGCGCGAGCAGTGGGTCGACAATTTCAAGTTCGGCAGGGTGAATTGCTCCGCGTAGATTACACCACGAAAAAAATGTACCACACAGATTGCACCACACAGCTGGCACAACATAGAGCATCCTTGTTTAAGAAAGTATTAGGATCTACCCCACCCCATGGGGTTCCACCTTTTCATGTTGAAATGTACATGCGGTTTTGCCCCATCGTCCATCCTAAATCTGAATTCGTAACATTCCAGCCAGGCCGGAGTTCGAGCCCCCTTTCATCCTCCGCAAAGAATGTATGTGTGCGCGCTCGTCCCACAAAAACCAGCAGTTATCAATAATCCCTTGCAAAACATGGGACGATGTGCGCGCGCGCGTCGTCGCGCGCGCATTCCGAAATCCTCTAAAAACCTTAGGTTCCGCAGGGGGTGCAAAACGAATGCCCAAACATGTTTGTAATAAAATGGGGGTTCGCAGCACGGGTTCCAGTATTTGTTTATAACAAATGTTGCGCGCGCGTGTTCCTGCGAATCTTTAACAAAACCATAGGTTCCCAACACCTCCGTAAAATGCTAGGAAACAGGCCTCTGGCGCGCGCATGTCAGAATCGTTCGAACGCCGTTGCGTTCGAACGCCGTTGCGCGCGTGTTGTCGCAAGAATCCACTGCAAGAAATGAGACGACGTGCAAACGCGCGCGTCGTCGCGCGCGCATGCTGGAACCTTTTCAAATACCATGCATTTCGTACGAATTTCAAAATCGAGCGTGCTGGAAACAAATCAAAACACACTGTTTCGCAACACCTGGCTTCAAAAACAAATTGAGCTCGGGGTGTTGCGGTTTGTTAAGAAGCTCATTGGTTTTCCGATATTGTCATTCAATTCTGCCAAACGGGCCTCCCGCGCCGCATGCCGAAGTCCTTCGAACGCCCATGGAGGCGTGTTGGTTGGGGGGGGCACGGTCCGTGTCAAATAATACCACGCGGGCCACTCGCGCGCGTCGGCCGCGCGCGCATGTCGAATTCCTCCAAAAACCTTCCTCGCCGACGCGAGGACACCGTCATTGTTATTGGCGGGCGTGGTCAACATCGGCGCCGTCACTGGCCTTGCCGTCGTCGTTGTCATCGTCGTCACAAGCATCGCTACCATCATCCTCGTGTCTACCATTGTCGGCGTTGCTATGATACCGGGCCTGCCCAAGTCGCCGACTCGTACTGAAGGGCCCGCTGGGAAGTGCCCAACGCTCGCCGCCACCGCGGCCGCGTCGGTCGCGCCAAATTGGCCGACCGTTGCGCGCACGAGCTTGGGCGGCTAGCGCGGCTGCAACTGCACCAGCCAACGCCAAGTACCCATCGCAATCGCCGCCGCATGCGCTTGTGCAAACCACGTTGCGGGTGGGTGGGCGGGATGATTGTGTGAGCGGTGGGGTTGGCGCATCATTGCTAACAAGAATCGATTGTAGCACATGGATCGCGTCATGTAAACTTCACGTTATCGTTTCCACGACACGTGCCCATTTCTAAAAAGCAGGCTATTCGGGTTTACCGCCCCCCCGGGATTAACGTTCCTCTTTTTCGCAGTGCAATTTGCAAATGGAGCTGCCCCACCGTCCATCCGAACTATACATTCTCACCTTCCGACGCATTCCGGTACAGCCTCCCCCCCTTTACATTGCCGTGACGAAAGTTTCTTTCAATTTGCTTTTTGGAAGGACGCGTTCGTGCGGAGTAGTTCGGAGTACTTCTACTAAAACTATTCCGCGCGCAATCGCATCCCGCTCGGTAATTTGTATGGTTTGGCGCGGAGTAGTTTCCGATCCCGCGTTGGGGTAACAGAGTTGTTAACGTCTCCGGAATCGGAAACTACTCGCCGAATGATCCCAACATCATGTCATGTTAGGAATATTGAGAGGGATGGGGGAAATCTTCATCATAGCAAATTGAAGAAATTTTTGTCACGGCTGTGTATCCATTGCAACACATCTGATGTGCGCGCATTCGTTTATCAATAATCATCCAGTTCCAGATTCCTTTTACTAAAACGGGACGAAGTGCACGCGCGTGCCACGTCGTGCGTGCGTTCCAAAATCTTTGAACCGTGGGTGCTGTAAGGATTCCAAAACCGAGCGCCCCGAAAACATATAAGCACACATGGTTTCGCAACAGGATTTGTCAAATAAAACGTGCGCTCTGGCTTTTGCGAATTCCTCGGCCAACCATAGGTTTTCAACATCTTCATACTTTGTTACCTAACGGGCCTCTCGCGCGTGCATGCCGGAATCGCTCGAACGCCCTTGCGCGCGTGTTGTCGCAAGAACCCTTTTGCAGCAACATGGGACGAAGTGCACGTGCGCGTCGTCGCGCGCGCATGCCAGAATCTTTCCAAAACCGTTCGTTTCCCGTTCGTTTCGCAGGAATGTCAAAATCGCCGAGTGTCCCGAAACCAACAAAAAAAGCACGTGGTTGTTCAACATCAGTGTAGAAAAATGCTTGCGTTCGCGCTCCTGCGAAGTTTGAATAAAGCCTGTAGGTGTTTCTCAACGTGCTCATTCAAGTTTGCCAAACGCGCTTCTTGCGCCAGTCGTCGGAATCATTCGAACGCCACTGCGCACGTGCAGGGGGGGGCACGATCCGTGCCAAATGATATCATGCGGGCCGCTCGCGCGTCGGCCGCGCGCGCATGTCGAACTCATTCCAGAACCTTATTTAACACCGACGCAAGGATGCCGTCATCGTCGCCGGCGTGATCAACATCGGCGCCGCCACTAGCCTTGCCGCCGTCGATGTCATAATCGTCACCAACATCGCTACCATTATTCGCGTATCTACCATCGTCGATGTTGCCAGGATACCGCGCCCGCCCAAGTCGCCGACTCGCACTGAAGTTTCCGCTGGGAAGTGCCAAGCGGTCAGCGCCACCGCGGCCGCGTCGGTCGCGCCAAATTAGCTGGCCGCTGCGCGCGCGAGCATGGGCGGCTAACGCGGCCGCCGAGATGCACCAGCCAACGCCAAGCACCCATCGCGATCGCCGTCGCATTGGTTTTGGAAACCAAGTTGCGGGTGGGTGGGTGAGATGATTGCGCGAGCAGTGGAGTGGACAATCCATTGCGAACAGCAGTTCGCTGCATACCACAGATTACACCGATTACATTGCATGTGCATAGTGGCTTGCACAACAGATGTTGCACCACACAGGTTGCTCCACACATACTGCGCCACCTATAGTGCACAACACTGATTGCATCACAAGTGTTGCGCCATCAGGACTGCACAACGTGGTTTGAACACATGAATCTCACAATCGATATCGCACCACATAGAGAGTGCACAGCCGATGTTGCACCACAGCACTAGATTGCACCGTGTAATTTGCACCACATAGATTGCACAACGAAGATTGCGCCACATAGATTGCACAACATGCACAACACAAATCGCTAGACGCACACCCTTTGGGGCCCACGGTGGCTAACACAGACTTCGTTTGTTTTGTCATCCGCCTATGACGGTCAGGGCCGAGACCATTGCGATCGCGCACGCTGCGACATGATTTTGCACATCAACGGGTGTGCACTTGGGAGTGCCATTGAAGGGCCGACGGGAGAATGACTGTTGGGCCCGGTTTGTCGGTCTGATCGCGCGAGGGAAGTGGGAGCAGGCCAGGGAGTTGGCGCGGAGAACGCCCGTGTTGTTTTTGTTGCCTGTGCCCCACGTGTTCCCGTGGCTGTCACGTGCCATCCCCGTGGTCGGCAGCGGACTTCTCTTGGTGATGTACGGGCGTCTTGCTTCCGCCGCGCCTTGCGGACAAGGAGGAGGAAGGGGAGGAGGAAAGGGGGACGAGGAGGAGGAGGAGGACAAGGAGGAGGACAAGGAGGACAAGGAGGACAATGAGGACGAGAAGGGGAAGGAAGTATAGGAGGACGAGGAGGAGGAGGACAAGGAGGAGGAAAGGACGGAGGAGGAGTGGGACAACAAGGAGGACAAGAAGGACAAGGAGGACGAGAAGGCGGGCGGGGAGGAGGAGGAGGAGGAGGACAAGGAGGAGGACACGGAGGCAAGGGAGGAAGAGGAGGAGAGGGAGGAGGATGAGGAGGAGGAGGAGCCCGCACGCCCCTTCGCGCTTGGCAGGGGCCTCCCCCATCATCCTCCTCATCCCCGTCCTCCCTAACCTACTCTGCCTCCCCTCCGCCTCCTCCAACTACCCCTAAGGGCTCGACGACGCTTCTCCAATTGACATGTGGGGATCGAGCCAGGCGAGTCAGGGGCAATGCCGATTCATCGACGTAACGTCAGGTAATTCGTGGTACATCCAAGGGGATCCAGGGATCGCCAGGGAACGCCTGAGCAAATCGTGGCCACGCCAGCGCGAGTCGAGGAACGACAGACGTAGTTCGGCCCTCAACGATCCGACCTTTGGTCTCCTCAACTTCTTCCTCGTTCATCCGACCGCGCTCATCCTCCCTCCCTCCCTCCCTCCCTCCCTCCCTCCCTGCGTCCCTGCCTGCCGCGTCATCATCATCATCTCTGCCTGCCTGCCCCGTCCTCATCATCATCTCTGCCTCCCTGCCCTGCGTCCCTGCGTCCCTGCCTGCCTGCCCCGTCCTCATCATCATCCTCGTCCTCGTTCTCCCTCCCTCCGCCCCTCCCTCCCCCCCCCCCACCTGAGCACTACTGTAAGCACGGCGTTGCCGTGGGGCAGGTGGCGGATCGCCTCACCTTGCTGGACCGCTGGGAGTCGGCCATCGACAGGCGCGGCAATTACTTCGACACTTCCAAGCTCGGCCCTTAAGCCTGGAAGTACGCGAGGGGCGCATGGGAGTCAAGATGCGGAGGAGGAGGAGGAGGAGGAGGAGGAGGAGGAGGAGGGAGCGATCGGCAGGGTCTCCTCATGCGCTTCCGACAGTCTCGCTAGTACCACCCCGCCGCCACCCCTTCACTCGTTCTCAGGGGGCGACGGGCGAGTTCGGAGTGAAAAAGGAGTAACGCTTCCTCGTCTGTGCACCTCTGTCCTCCCCTCCCGCTCCTCCTCATCCTCCTCCTCCTATTCCTGTTCCTTTTCCTCCTTCTCGTCATCCTCATCCTTCTCCTCCTCCTCCTCCTCCTCCTCCTCCTCCTCCTCACTCTCTCCTCCTCTACCGTCATCCCTCCACCATCGTCCTCGTCGTCTCTCCCGCCTTCTTGCTCGTCTTCTTTGTTTGTTCCTCCTCCTCCTCCTCCGCCTCCTCCTCCCTCCTCCTCCTCCTCCTCCCCCTCCTCCTCCTCCTCCTCCTCCTCCTCGTCCTACCCCTCCTCCTCCTTCTCCTCCTCCTCCTCCTCCTCCTCCTCCTCCTCCTCCTCCTCCTCCTCATGCCCCTCGTTCGTCCCCGCGCCCCTCATCCCTTCATACGTTATCATCTGTCCTCCTCTCCTACCTACTCGGACCTCTGTCTCATGATCCTGCTCATCCTTATTCGCTGTCCTCCTCACCATTCCTCCCGCTCTTCCTTGTCCTCATCCCTCCTCCTTCCCTCCATTATTTATTAAGTGTCCCTCCTCTCTCCCTCCCTCCCCATCCGTGCCCGCAACCTCCGGGGGCATCAAACGACCCCCCGAACCCCAGGAGTCAAAGTTTCAGAGCGCGTGCGAGCGCCCTCCAGGAACTGACCACCATTCCCCCAAAGCCCTCCTGTCTCCGTCTCCTCCGCTCCTCCTCCCTCCTTCCCCCTCCTCCCTCCTCCTTCCTCCCTCCTCCCTCCCTCTCCCTCCTCCTTCCTCCTCCCTCCCTCCTCCCTCCTCCTCCCTCCTCCTCACTCTTCCCACTCCTCCTCCCTCCTCCCTTCTCATCCTTCCTCCTTCCCCCTCCTCACTCCTCCTCCTTCCTCCCTCCTCCCTCCTCCCTCCTCCCTCCTCCCTCCCTCCTCCTGCCTTCCTCCCTCCTCCCTCCTCCTCCCGCCTCCCTCTTCGCACTCCTCCCTTCTCCTTCCCCCTCCTCCCCATCCTACTTCGCCCTTTTTCCCTAATCGCCCCTGCTCCCCCGAGGATCGAACATGAGACATCGTCCACCCATCCCAAGGTTGCCCTCCTCCTCCTCCTCCTCATCCTCCTCCTCCTCTTTTTGAGCAAGCCGATGATTGGGCATGCGCGACATGTGGCGCCATCGGTTTAGACAGGTCAGCTGTTCTGCACGTCAGTCGCGTCGGAACCCCTCAAGGTAGGGATCGGTAAATCTGAATC